AGTGTCTTCTGCTTTGTCGACGACTACCTCCATGTCAATCTAGTTATGATCTAAGTAATGTGACGTCCTCACATCGGGAACTCGTGAAGTGACAAAACAACCACAAGGCTCACTAATGACCATAATAAAAGCATCGACCTTCATATCGTAGAAAATATAGCATATTTAATTGTGAAATCATGATGGCAACCATCGAACTCGTCAAAAGCCTACATAGACCTGCATCGCTAAAGTCATGGTATTCAGAGCAACACTTATAAAGCGAATAAACTTCGACATGTAAACAACGTGGGTCTGGAAAGTGATTAGTTACCTCTAGCATTGAATCAAGGACACCCAAAGACCATTGCCTAGAGTCATTGTTTTAACAACAAACACTTTGTAAGAGGCACAGTTCAGTTGTTAGGAACATAGACACAAGCCAATGCTACTAAATGAAACAACTGAAACGATTACTACGTAAATGCCTTTAACTCCTGCAAATTATATGCATCATTCAGGAACCAGTTTTACGGCAGCAGACTTTAAATATGCTTTTGTTATTTACTTTTATTATAAACCTTCAATCATAAAATCATATGATATGATCAATGAAAAAACTATATATAATACATTACCATTTTTCTATTGTGACGTTTGGTTATTTTGCGGAGAATGGCAACATCAGTAATATCCGAAAGGCTGCATGCACTTTGCAACCAGACATGTTATGGGTGTTGAGTTTTCGATACTTTTTGATCACATGATCTGAAGATGTCTGCAGTCTAATTGATCAAGAATAGTTTGTTTTCTTATCAACTTGCTACAAACAATGTAATCAGCCTACATATCATTCTAGATAACATTGATTACGTGTTGTGGTATTAAGGTGTGATTCAAAATCGAATTTGGCAATCTGTCTTCTTTTTATGTGAGACGTCTTCAATTCTCTATTTCAATCAGAACAAACATGAAACATTCATGAGCACATTTTAGTTATGGTTTATTAATGTTCCTGATTACAAATTTTAGAAGACTAGTTTGTCCTGATTAGGAGTTTCAGCTTGCTATGAATTCCTCCCTATTTATTTAACCAAATGTGTTTAAATTGTTCCTGTCATTACCCTAACTAGTATAATGCTGTGGGTTAAATCTAGGAATCTAATAGTTTTTTCTCGTAGCAGGTATTTTGTGATTTAGATTTTAGAAGTGTGGTACAGAACGTTTTACATGAGAGAGATTGTGTTTACACATCATAGATTGCTATGTACGGGAGATAACCCTATGACACAACACATATTTTTTTTGCATTTTCGTACCTAAGAACACAATATCAATGCTGAAAAAATACACTGTCATGGTAAGTATTCTAACATATCCGAAATAAAACAGTTAAACAATATTGATTATAGATATGATTATTTTGACCGCAGAAAATGTTAGAAAATAACAGCATCTATGATTAATATTTGTGACTCGTTTCTTTTGCGTGTGAAGGAGTATCATTTTTCGGTTAGTGCCATTTTTACAGGTTTTAAATATAGTATTTGTATAAATCATGTTTAAAATTAAAGAATTCTGCTTGTTCTTAAACCCCCAAATAGAAATGCAAGAAGGTTGGTAGCATGAAATACCAAAATATTAAGTTTTACATTTCATTAAAGGTTTGAAGAAAAATGTATTACAAATATCCATACAACACATTGAAATCTAATGACATTCTCTGGGGTGCTTCTATGATTTAACTTCCTTTCCTAGGTGTTTTTTTCGTCAATGTGATGTTCAACATTTTGTATGTCAACGCAGGGACTGCAATATGTGATATAAGACAAACCTTCCTCACCGCTAATATAATATATATTTGGATAATATAAAAACCATCGCAAATAAAATTTGATTTAATCAATCTTTTGAATAATGTGACGAGGAGGATGCAAAACATATATTCGCATAGAATTGTTTTTTTACAAAACAATTGTACTTTATTTCAACGAATCTTCAAAAATCCCGCAACAATCTACTCATCATTTTAAAGTGTACTTGGGGTGTGGATTAAGTATTTTATGCCACGTAATGTTTGTCTGCTGATGTTTTCTTGTGCATTATTGGTAAAGGAAAGCGTTGAGTAGCGGAAAGTTCAAAATAACATCTGACGTGAAGTTTACGTAGGATCTTTAATCGGATAACCGAGCTTGTGTTACATACCACACTCAACAACACATGTGGACTTAAAATCTTATTCACTTCGCATTTTGGCCGTGACAGTCGGGGTCAATACCTAGAGGAAGCCTTCTTGGTAAGAGATCTCTTAAATTTTACAAATTGCCTTTTTAACACAGTTCTGGATAACGACAACAAATCTACATGCATACATATTATATAGTGTTACAACATCAAACATATAGTTCTAAAGTACATCAAGTGCTGTACCCGGGCAATCCACGACCCCTCCGGCCAAGGCCTTCCCTTGCCTCTCTCTCCGAGGCTCACATTACCGAACCTCGAATCCCCATCCTAAACTTTTGACTCGGACTCCTTACTCTCACACTACTTATTAAACCTTTCCAAATTGCTTTAACAATCTATACAAAATAACCTATTTATAAGTAGGTACCACCTATTGTGCGTCAGTCTTACTTCTTATCTAACTTCTAAGCTGACTTTCTCCTTCCATATGTACCATAAGGCAATGACAGTTACCCTGTCTGTTTTTTGGAGCTCATACTCTAGTTCCTATCTCTACGTCACCCTCGACTGACCTGTTTCGCCGCTTGATGGATAGCCCTACAGCACTATCTACAATTCCCCATTCCCCCTGTCACTCAATGGACATTGTAACCAAACCGTACAATTTGACATAAAATGTACTTTTGACCAACGTGCTGCTCTCTGTTGATACCAAGAATCCTACATATTGTAAGATAGTTCCATTCTGTATCAATTATCAGCCTTACACTTGTTATCCCCGTTATTGAAATATAAACAAACGAAACGAGTATGAATTGTTTTGGGCTAATCAAAGTGCATCCGTCTACCTAGATGTTTCCACATACATCTGCGTTAAACTAACACAATACGACGTGTGGCTCACAATCAGCCTGTAGATTTATTATAAAAAGGAAATTTAATATTTCGGACTTTTATTGTCACCTTATCCATCTATTAACAAAAGATCTTAGGGTAAAATGGCGCTCAACTTATAGCATCGTCATATAAGCTATGCAAGCTCACGAATCATTTCTCTCTTTTTTATCTGGTGGATTTAAAGTCTGGAAATGCACCCTGTGTGGTGAACTGTGGATTAAAGGTTAAAAAAATAGGATGAGAGTTTTCTTGCTGGAGATGATGGGCTTAAAAACGTCGAATGGATTTTCAAGTAGCCTTTTTTTCCCAAATTTTGATTAATATTATGAATGTTCATGTAAATTATCTTTTTTAATTATGCATGTATTTGCTTTGATAACCAGCTGAATTTTCCATTATTTGGCGAATGCACTACTCATGGTATTTGATCATTAACCTAGTTATTTATTGTTTCTTCAGGATTGCGTTTCTTCCATTTTTTAGAATAGAAAAAAGCCGATTTCAAGATCGTTTTCCCCTTCACACAAGAAAGCAAATTAGCTTAGCCAAACGACATCTTGTCGATTCATGTTCCAATGATTTTGCAACATTCTAGCCAGTTATGAAAATAGTGAAAATATCGAAAATAACTGCATATTGATTGACGGGCACTTAGCAAACCCATTTAAATTATTGCAAAAATTGAATAAAGAAAAACGCCAAAACTATCGTGCAACTTCGATATATTTTTTTTATAATTTTATTAAAATTATGTCCTATTAATTTATTTTACATGTATTAAGAAAAAGTACTACGCCTTAACTGAGGGCATTCCAATTCAGAAACTGTACTATGGCGATATGGAATATTTTCAATCATTAGAAATGATCTGTAAAAAGAACGAGTTGTAGAAAAACGTAATTGATAATGAATTGACTGGGCTGTTTAAACAACACCAGAATTTCAACCAACTTGGTCAAAGGACGTGGCATTCTGGATAACAAAATTGAATTGACCGTTATAAATATTGCAGTTAATCATTATATGACTGTCAGTTTTGTATACTGTATACAAACCATGTGATAACATTAATATGGCAAAAGTAAGTTATGAGTATCTATTTCCTGTTTTATTAAATACGTCAATAATTATGGTGATTATTAGACAAATTATAGTTACACTTGAATAACCATCATGAACGTTTCTGTTTTGAAAAGACAACAGATTGAAAAAGGAATTTAGGTTCTTTATTTTAAGCAATTTTAACCCTATATGTTTGATACATTTAAACATATCGTTGCTCTGTCTACAGTATCCTTGTAAAAATGTAAGCAGACCTTAATAAACCTGTTCAATTGTTTTATGTCGGATTTTATGCAGGACCTTAAGTACGGAAGACGTTATGAAAATTAATGCATTTTATTTAGTTTGTACATTAACACATACAAAGGATTCGCATCTTGTATCGTGGTTTCACGTACATTTCGATAAATATAAATTTTGGAAACGATACTGAAGAAAGATCAGTCCAAATGTTCACGGTCACATGAGCGAGCTGCTGATTTGTAACTTACTTATTTCAAATAGAGAGTCAAACACGACACATATAAGAGTAAGATGACGTCATTACCAAAATTACGTGACAAATGATAGACGTCGCAGACGGCCACTGATATTATGAGGTGTTCATAAAATGGTCATGCAATGTCATTGAAGATATATTTGAATAGAAGCACGAACGGTCCTCAATGGAACAAATACGTTGTGACGACGACCATGGCGATTGTCACTATCTGCTTCCCAGTGGTAAACAGGCCTGTAATAGAAGCAAACGCGACTTGACAGTTTTCACAATATATGTTGTAAATAGTAATAATGATATTTTCATGATTTCTTATACGTTTTAGATATTATTATAGTATGCTTTTATGGTGCAATATATGTTTGAGATATTGACTTGACGCTTCTTACATATGGAAAATGATAATGATAATACATGTAACTTTACAATTTCACTAGTGTGTTTAATTCCTTCAACCATGACTGCAGAATCATCGAAAGCTATTCGTAGTTAAGTACTTATACGTCGTTAGATAAAGTTGCAGATAACAAAATAATAAAGAAATCAGTTAACAAGGTATGCCTGTCAAATGTAGAAAAACTAAAATAGAAAAGTAAACAGATGATCGGGTGGTCTATCTGGTATTCTACCACGTTTGCGATGTAACGACACTTCTCATTGGTTAATAATCATGAATAATTTGACGAAAGACCATGCACGTGCGTGTATCCTTTTTTTCTACATTCCAAGGCTTGAAGTGGTAAAAAGATGACTCCCAAAAATATCCAGGTTAGATAAATTAAATAGGAAAACTGTCCAAAGGAATAGAAATAATAAAAACGAACAGCGTGTTGTAAAATGTAGACGTATATTCCACCATTAGAAAGGCACATACTTAAAGTAGGTTTTAACAAATAAACTTGATCAAAATAGCAATACCTTTTGCTCCGTTTGCTGAACGTTCAAACAATTTGTCTTTGACCTCAAACTTAATGCTGGCGGTTTTTAACTGTGATTTGATCCTCTTCCGTTTACGGGACTACGAAATAAATAAACTAGAACATTATACCACTATGCAGAGGAGATTAACAATGTTATACACCAACGTTTATTATAACATTGCGACAACAAAATAGAAAAGATAAAATAAATAAAGTATACATTAGTAATATTAGGTTTGATATGTTGATAAATATTCTTATGATTTATAAGGATCACATAGTTATATAGGGTTTTCTACCCATCGGTGGTTGGTTATCAGTTAGTATTGCTTTTTAATTTGTTAAAAAGATACGAAGTTTATCGAATGTCTTTCACAATTTGAAACTTAACTAACGAGAGTTAAATGAATATAATAATCAACCATCACGAGTGTGAGGACCTTTTCGTCCACAACGTACAGCTATTATGCAAATAAAAACAATATGTTTATCTAAGGAATACATTGTTTCTGTTTCCATAACTGCCATAAACCATGAAGACACAATTAAAGGTGAAGTTGTAAAGCATTATTACCTGACGTCATAATTAGAAGATTGACCAGTAAAAAACGTCCAGTGTGTTTCCCACTAGTGGGTAACCAAAATTATTTATCTAACATGGAACTGTTACAGTGAACTGAGAGCAGGAAACATGTAGTGGTTCTGGAAGTAATACAAATAATCCCTAAGGTAGTCCACCTGTCTTCTTAAAACGTATACAAACTTGCAACTTTTGTAAGTAAGGTGTGGTCAATTATAGTAAGGCAGTTAAAATAGTCTGAAAAACGTGGACTTCTGATGTAGAATCCAACAGACTGTAGGTATATACTTGAAAATTTTACTATAAAGTTATTTTGACGATGACACAAAATCACTATCAGTATCAGGAACGTATTCACATTCTTTAAGATGTTAATGATTAAAATAAGTGAAAAATGTCTTGTGAAGCACAAAGGTGTCAATGACAAATAGGAGAACAGGTAAACTCAAAATTAAACATATATCGTTAATGGACAACTCATATTATCGAGATTATTTAAGTTATGGTTCTAAGGTAAATGAAATTCGTGTACATGACTAGTCACAGAGCGTTTTCGTTATTTGTATATTTGGGCTTGTAATTTGTATTTTAATCAGAAGTGTAGGAAACGTAAGTCATTGCTTACTGGTTAGTTGATTAACGCGGGTCAATATTGTTTTGATTGTTCGGTAATCCTCGGAGTTTTGTAGTTAGTTGGCTTGTTCGTTTTAAACATCTTAAGTATGCCATTTAATCTGGGCTTCTCATTACAATTTACTGGATAACAAGGGTTACGCTCTTTGAGGTGAATACTTTTCATTTAAACTATGCACATCATGCACGCATATTAACAGTATATAGTGTTCTATTGTTGAATTTACTTTATTTACCTTAACTAGATTTTTTATTATAAAATATCCAGCGTTTTGCGTCATAATCTGGATTGGAAGTTTTAGCGGTCTGGACTATATTTTTAGTTCATGGCCAGTGTCATTTATACCTTCATTTTATTCAGGCAATGAACACAAAAGTGAATTTAGCTGTTTGATTTCGTTACTCAGGAGACACAAAACATTGCTGACGTAGCGCATGTACCAAAAGGTTTAAGCAGTATTTTTTTTCAATAAAAGACGTTGGTCGCGTGTGTTAGTTGAATCTGGTGTATTTGTCATTAAAAAACAATGTTCTTTATTAGACTAAGTCTGACTCAATATGCAATATAAATGTACCAAAATAGTTCTTACTTATATCGATTAACTTCCTGTATACTTCTGCGGTTGTTATATATTCGTTTACATTATGTCATAAAAGCTATTATATCAATATGTTAAATGTCTGGAGGTAATTTCATTCCTTTAATCAGTGAGAATCTTCGTAAAATATATGAATTGTCGTTCAATTTGAATCGCATTAATGGATATCATATCAAAAATTGTACCTGCCTCTTAATAAAACAAACAGCTACGATTTGCGAGTCTGATTTAAGGGGCAAGGTAGCGATGCTTTGGGGTAGCTCTCAAGATTCTATCTTTTTGGTCATACATAGTACTGCAATGTCTTGTGTCGGGAAACATTATATAATTGTATATTTATAAACTAATAAAGACTCATGAAGTGTAATAAAACAAAGAAATAAGGGAGATAACTCCGTTAGCATTATCCATTTATAACGGAAGTGTTGCGCGCAGATGAAACCAGCATGGATGACTGTTGTTTTTATTTAAAGGCTTACCAATCAGGTTTTTGAATGTTTTGATTAAAGCTTTAAATGTGGTAGATTATAGCTAAAGGATGATAAATTATAGCTGAAGGGTGGTCTATTATAGTTTTGAGTGTGGTATGCTATATCTATGAGTGTGATATACTATAGCTCTGAGTGGTGTTTTATAGTTGCTGTGAATTTAAGGGGTGTATTTTATCAATCTAATGTGTATGTTAAATTTTCATCATAAAATGTTTATCAATATCATATTTTGAATAAAACAAAAGTGCCAAAAAAATTAAAGACACAACAATTCCAACCAAATGTGTTGTTTAAACCATTGAGTTATTCATTTAATCACACGACCACCGATCTTTAACTATATCACCATGAAATGTTAACATGTCATCAGAAAACTAAATGATACAGTTCAACGAAACAAACGTTGTACAAGGATGGTTTAACTTAAAATATTCAAATCATGTTGGAAATAATATGACCTATACTGCTTCTTCTTTCTGCTTGTATTACGATATAACATGCGAAGGCATAATGTTACTTAGTTGTTAACCATACAACCGTTTAAAGGTTTTATTTGTGTTTAACACTAAATCAACAAAATATAAAGGAAATCGCTATATATATTCAAAGAATGCAGACTTTCAAATCCAATCGTTTCTTCTTTGCAAAATAATCACTATAACAACGGTTAAATTAAGCTCCTATCTGTAAATATATTGATATATATTTCACATCTTATATATTTATCTATTATTATTTGTTTAACAGTGAATTATCAATTTGATAAAGAACATCGATTTTATTACATCAAAGCTAACTATCAGAGCTGATTCCACGGAAATAGACTTACAGTCGAGCATGGAGATGCACAAACTTCAATCTGACAGGACAGGAAAACGATGTTTGATGTCACAAGTCGGAATCCAGTTAATGATGCCATTATCGGATGTGTGTCTACGGCATTTTTGGTATCATTCGTTATATTGGCCAAAATGCCAATTGAATGACCACTGCTGAAATTGTAAAGACGGCTGATAAGGGTAATGTAAATGCATATTTAACGCAAATATTCTTACCTATCTACTACAAAAATCTATAAATGCATCATCATTTCATGTTGGAGTTGTTAACAAAGTTGTATGTCCCACACAAGGTTAACACCATATCAACATCTGGGTTCCGTAGTTACATGTAAACCAGTAATACAACTAAGTAATCTAGATGTTGAGTCTCCATTGTTTATATTATTTTGAATTACCTTTCGTAATGGGGCTCTATTGAATACTGTTGGGTACCCATCTTGATTTCCTACAACAACCCATCTTCGACCGAATACAACTATGACGTTTGCTCTCTCACACTCCGATATGAGTCCCATTTTAAATTTAAGATCAGTATTTGGCAATGTAAAAAACATGCATCTATGAGGGCATGGCATGCTTATTTTTTCTGCCTATATACGCAAAATAAGCATATACTATATATCAAGATATGGATTAAAAATCAAAATAATATGAGCATATATGAATCCCTGACGATGAGGTCGAAATGAAAAAGGCGCGGTAATTTTAATTTTCAATCTCAAAGATCTTATCATCTGAAAATGTGGTGTTATATTTTGTAGAACGGATTAAAAAAAATTGTAATGAAGTTCTGACAGAGGCTCTGGAAGGAAAGGACATTTCAGAAATGTATTTTTTTTTGTTCATATGAATGTTTTCTTGATTAATTCTTTAATAAAAATAATTTCCCTGAAGTGACAACGCAAGATGACAGGGAAAATACATACGCTGTCGCCGCATCGTATATCTTTACTGCTTGATACATACTCCGTGTTCCGGCTGCTTCACATGACTTGATCAGCAAGAAATGAGTACCTTTGAGATAAAAAAAAATTAATCTCATTTCTCGGCATATGTAATAGAATCATCAGTAGCCTAATTTATTTTGCTGTTTTCTATTCTGTTTTCAGAACTCGCTTAATGGGGAAAGAATACTTTTTTTCAAAACATGTGCTTTTGTTTTATTTCATAGTTGTAGGAAATCTAAGTAATAGGTGTAAAATTGACGTCATATACGGTCGGACCTTTGAGAGAAATATTAAAAGTGACACACTTGTAAGAAAGGATGAAACAGTTTATACAATGAAATCCAATTTCTTCAATCTCAAATCATTTATTTATCCGACAAGAATAACGATTATTCGTAATATCTATATTAATGTTTAGGGCAAAGACACGACATTGTGTTATCACTTTGGGTTTTGTTCATATAAAACATGATATAAACAGACTTCTAACTGATGTACTTGATGCATACTGTGACATCAAAAGTTGGCTTTCAATATAATTCCCAGACAAAGTACAATCTCAGGATCATCCTGTAACTACATATTTAAAACGTGGAATTTTTCAAATGGCGGTAGCTGAAGAATTAAAACATTCGAAAGATTATTTTTTAAGTTAACCTTACTATTTTCAATCAGTAAAATGATTTATTCCATTCAACTAACTAATTTGATTCCTGTATAAAAACAAAACATTTAGCAATGCTACACCCAGTTACAACAATTAGAAACTATTATTTGCAACCTTTCGAAGGATCTATTTGTAATATCGAGTGAGCTGAAAATATGCTTAAAAAGTGCAGTCGAGGGGATACGAGCAACAAACTAAATGTTATTTCATATGGCATAGATAAAGTAAAATTTCACCACAAAGAACTTAACATGAACAGTAAAAGGAAATTATTGGTGATTATTCTTAATCTCCTTGGAAAAGTGGAAACAGTGATTGCAGATGTATATAACAAGCCTTAGCCGCTTTAACTTTACACCTATAATCATTTATCCGTATTTTACTTACCCGCACCAGAAACGTGCAATGTATACGTTTGACCGATTTCGACAGTCGCAGCTGCAGTATTATTGCTATTAGTTAGGTTCATTTTCAGTGTAATGCTTTCCATTGCACTTAAGGTCTTTTGTGTACTCCTGTAAAATAATTTACGTAAGAAATGCACCACAGGAGAGGCGGTTAGTTCAGATATAATAATTTCATTTTCAACAATACTTTAATCTAACTGTTCAATTTCTAATTAAGAAATTAAAACATGAAGTCGTATTTATACACAGTCTGCTTTTTTACAATGTATTTTAAATAGGATTGTTGTTTGATATTATAAAGAAAACACAACTCGTCCGTCATCTTTCAACAGTTATCACAAAATCATGATTTTAGAGCAGTTTCCTGAAACCCGAATCAACTGTGGCTTGTATGTATCGTATGTTAGGAAAGCAGGGACGCTACCGTCAAGAACGGGAACGTTGCATATCATAGTATCCTCCTGCTTATCGTACAGTTTAGAAGTACACAGTCCCGTAGGACATTATGTAACTAAAATTCTAAGGTAAGCAACAGATCTGTCTTTCATTCACACTTGGGAGGATATATACGATCGACTGAGTTGGATTCCTTGTTACTAAAAGATAGGCTATTGTCCGCAGTCCAAACAAGTCATTTATTAGATTCAGCCTCATATGAAAGCAAAAAGGCAGCTAAGTAGGGGGCGCAATTTGTTTCCATTGGAATGCCGAAAGTATGCTCGAAAATCTTGCAACCGAACTTAACAAAGGTATTGTGACTCCGGGATTCAATCGATCACACTATTTTATCATTTCGATATCTCATCTTCGCCTTTGTCGTGCTTTGATATTTTACAAAGTTTACAACAAAATAATTGAAAATCATAATTTATACCGCCTTTTGTAATTTATTGGAACAGACGTTCCATAGGCTGGGAATACATGTTGAGACAAAGAAGTCGTATTTATACCATCAACTTATACTTACCCAAGTTGGGAATCTAAACGGACAGTAAAGACTTTTGGATTCTTTAAGATGTTACAAGTTAAATAAACATCTTCCATTTGCTGTCCGTCGCCAAACACTATTGCTGCATTTGGGGCAGGGATATGTGTCATGTTGTACATAATAAGATGTACTGATGATCCCTGCATGAACAATAAACAAAACTGTATTCCAATGTCATATTTAAGTTTATTTATAAAAGCAGATTAAGTGATACTTGCAATAAAGTATAGTAGTGGTAATATTTTCATTTTATTGTGGATCATATAAAAACATTTTTATTTGTTAAAGATAAAGGAGTCAATGTTAAACCACATTAGTATCTTCGGAAACAAAGGTAAAGTATAACGGCTAGTCAGTTTTTCTACACAACCCAATTGACGTGTAAATTGTGCGATGATAAATATTACCATTTTTTTATGTGAACTTTGCACAAAATGGAATTATCAATACAGCATACACACATGTACTTCATATTTACAACCGTTCTATGAATTCGATGATCTGTTGAAATACATAGTGAAAACAAGATTGAATCCTAATGGGCTAAGGATACTCTTAATGCAATCTAGTGTGTATCCCTTCTTCTGTATGAAAAAGGGATTTTAAGATTTTACTTCATACCCTCGAATTACACAAAATGAAATCCTCTCAACTCAAGGATAGCTCTAGAAAAAAATTGGTTAAAACGGCCCGCAAAATTGAGGCCCCTTTGCCTTTTTTAGACCCAATTTGGTTAAAAAATATGTATCATTATGGTCATTATACTTTCTCTATTGGGCCCCACCACTTCATTTATACCAAAGTGAGTTCCCTTTGTCAAAGGATGACATATATTAAATTTACAATAATTTTATAGATGTTCCCAAATCTCCCCCTTAGGGCCCAGTCCTTCTGTCCAAAAGGGGGCATACCCTCAGTTTATACAAAATTAAATATCCTTTGGCCGATGATACTGCAGGCCAATGTTAGTAAAAATCAACTCAGTCGTTCGGTACTAAAATTGACGGACGGACGGACGGACTGATTACGGACGCCGTGCTACGGAATAAGCTCATCGTTCCTATGGACCAGGTGAGCTACAAATTGAATATGTTGATGAAAGTCATACATGTAAACATTGTATTTGCTAAAGGTTGCACTTTCATGTTTAAAATGTACAGACATATATGTAACAATAGGGAAGAGGAAGTTGCCTATGAACGCTTATCACAAATATAAGACTTAAAGCTACAGCAGATAAATTGTTCTTTAACAAGTATGTTATGTAAACCATAATATAATATGTTCAGCTACACAGTAACGGTCATCTAGGGAACTGATCTTTTACATGAAGCGTCAATCTCCTTGTGCGTTACACATGACATGAAGAAGTATCAATTAAGAATTATGTAAGCAGACATGCCTCGTAGGAAATCTTTTTATCTGCAAAATGACTAGTTCGTCCATTAAGGTACTTAGGTCAAATTATTGAAAAAAAATCAATTTATAAGATACCTATTTTCCAATGTCCTTCACTTACACTTTGAGATATACATTAAGGAAAAAGGAATATCATATACTGACAGCTCGGATTATCAACTAATTACAAATTGTCTTAATGCTTTTTTACGTATTGAAATAAATTATGTCACCATAAATTACATTTACGCATAATTTTAATTGGGTTAATTATCTTTGTAAAAAAACAAGGAAAAAATTGTTATCTTATTTATTTCATCGACTTATCGGTTTGTGAAAAATGTGTAATCACACTGCATGATTCTAAACTAAACCAGTACGGATATAACTGTCTGAAAAAAAGTAAAGAAGCGATCATCGTTATTCAAAAACGTTCTCCTTGGTGCAGTTACGGATAGGTATTCGTAAACTGAGTTTGATACCAAAGAAAAAGTTCGAAACGATTTAAACCGGTTTTCGATTGTCTGGTGTTCTCTTAAAAGGAATGTACCCTTTAGTCAGTGTTTTCTTATTCGATGAGCGCAAACAAATTGTAGAAAAAAATAGAAATAAAATCTTATCAATGCGAGGAAATATTCCTGACATGAAGCCCATCAAAAATCATTTAGGTCTCGTGAAAAAAAGGTAACAAGAAGCATGTCGACAATTATGTTGGACTTTTGGAAAGCTTTACAAAGGA